TGAAGTCAACTTTCAGAGATGGGGAGAGAGCTGGTCACCCATCATAACTGCCCGATCCTGCTCTAGCACACGACTGCTCCCCATCTCTGAAGCCATTCATGGGGAGAATTGAAAAGCTGTGAATTAGGTGGTGAATGACACACTAATGAACATGGCGGAGGCCCTCCTCTTCAGAGCTGCTGCTGTCCTCTGGGCAGAAGGAAGCCGAGTGTGGCCGTGTTCGGGGGCTTCCGTCGCCGCCGGAGACGCAGGTGAGGAGCATGCAGTTGCACCATCACCTGAAAGTGCTCAGATTCCAGAAAATCATAGCAAGGCACTTAACTCCTCCCAGGTGCTGGGCTGCCCTTCACGTGACTGTCACCAAAAAAGAACAGCAGCATTGCACTGAAGGCCAAGCCAAGCCTGTGCACGCCGACTGCCCCTGACCTAAAGTGCATGGGACCAGAGTGTTTGGGACATGGAGCAGCGCGGGTCTCGGAGTGCCAGGTCATGGATGCTCAGCTGGTAGGTAGACTGTAGGCAGAGAAGAGGAAGGATGTGGCTCTGTTTATTTGGACAGCACACAAACTGTCCTCCTTTCCTCCTGCTGCCATGGAGCAGATAAGAGGAGACACAAAGTGTCTCCACTTGCAGCCTTGGACTGACTTGTCCCCCTTGCTGCCAAAGGCCACCGAGGCCAACCCCACTGTCAGATGAAGTGCAATAGTCGAACACCCACACCATCTCCCCTGCTCACTGTTGGGCCCAGATGCCCCCGAAGCACCCAGTTCTCCTGCAGTGTTGGCTCTCAGGCTCAGAGCCCCAGGCTGAGGGTCGCTGGTTAAAGAGGTGATTTCATGGTCCCGTGCTGGGCGGTTTTCTTCTCTGTCATCTGGGCAGCCTTGTCCTGAGCTCATTTGTCCACGTGAATGCAGAGCAACTCTCAGTGGGCACCAGAGGGCTCAGTAAGAACTCAGACCCCTGGAATCCGACGCTCCAGGGCCAGAGCCGCTCATCCGTGGGTTGTTTTGGGGCACTGCAGTAAAGAGAAACAAACAGCCCTGCTTTTCTGACATTTGAGCAAAGAGATGGTGAAGTCTGGCTTTTTAAGGCCCTGAATGTTTCCTGCTTGGGCATGTTTTATAACAAGGTAAATATGACTTTTAAATAGTCGAACCTCGTTCACTTCTCCCCCTACCATTCCTCCAGAGCCATGGCACATGGCTCCAAAAAGGTCACGCTGTGCCCTCAGGTGTGCTGTTCAGACCAGGTTGACGTCACTGTTCCTGTTTGCAGGCAGATGGCAGCCTGCCATCCTGAGGAAGGGATGGATTTTGTTCTCCTTTGCATCCAAGAGCCATTTGGCCAGAAGTGGCTGGTACCTAGGGACATTACTCAGACCTCAGAGCCATCCTCAGATGTGAGTCCTGTATGAACTCCGTTTTAAAGATGAAGAAACTGAGGTCCACAAAACAGGCAACTGGGGCGGCTTCTTACTCCACACGTGTTCCCACTGAATACTGCTGCACAGAACCAGAAGTTCAGCCACAGTGTTGGACGGTCAAAGAGCTGTCACCCATGGAGACCCACCAGAATAGAAAGGAGACTCGTCCTTGGCTGAAGGGTCCTGGCCACATGTGAGAAGGTGCCAGAAGCACAGGTGCTCTGGGGAGTGGGCTCGTGGGAGGCACACTTGGACTGATTCAGGATCAGTTGAGCCTCCACACTGGGCCGGCCCCTAAGCTTGCTGCTTGGAATGCTGTAAGGAACACAACCGCCTTCCGCCTGCCATGGGAAGCAGTTTGCAGAGGGCATATGGGAACTAAGAACAGGCAAGTTCCAGGTTTGGAATTCCCTGGAAGCACATGCAGAGGCATAGGAAGGAGCAAGCTGTCTCTCATTTAGGTGTGCACATGTGCAGAGGAAATTAATTCCTGGCCACAGTGCCTGATCGCAGAGCCATCTTATATTCTGTGGCTTGGGGCTTCTGTGGCTTTTATTTTAGCCAAACAACCTTTCTTGTGAATAATAGAAAAATTGCCCATGCAAGAGAGAGCTTTTTTTCCTTAGTCACATTGATGATGCAAACATATGTTTGTCACCTTGAATGTGGGAGCGTTCTGTATGTGATGATGATAGCCTCCAACATAGCAAAAAGGATGCTTTTTTTTTTTTTTATCCTGGAAAAGAAATGAAAGCCCTGTGCATCCTGGCTGACGGTGTGGTTGCATTGTGGGTGGATCCCCATTTGAACCTCTAGGGAGGTCAGGAGGGCTAAGGAGGGAAGAGACGTGCTCTGATCAGAAGGTACAGTGTCACCCCGTGGAGGTGGTGCATTTCCTTTCCTCCACGTGGTCTTTGAGGAAGGTTCCATTGGCTGGGCACTCCTGCAGAAGAGGGCAGTGTGGTTAAGGAGCTCAGACAGAGCCCTGCAGAGAGCTCCGTGGCAGATGCAAGAGCCTTAATTACTGGGCTTCATGTAACATTCTTCAAGTTAAATGTAAATGAAAATAAGTGACTCCAAATTTGCAAAGCCAGCACTTTCCATTCTTGTGTTTTCCCACTTCATAAGGTGGAACGTGTCCCTTGTGGAGGACCCACAGAGGTGACCATGGACATGCGCTGACGTGGGCTGCTGACTGACGTGGGTCTCACTGATTTATGCCATGGCTGTGGTCTGGCCCAGTGCCTCCGCAGGTGGAGGATGGCTCCACAGTCGTGTGCCACCCAAGCCACAGAGGGCAGTAATTTCCACTCTGCTGACTTTGGACTTGGTGTGATCTGTAGAGGCTTTTTCTGTTGCATAGGCAAATATATCACTCCTAACACAATAGAATTTCCAGAGAGGCTGGGTTCACACAAACAGGAAGCCCCTTTGACCAAAGGAGAGTGCTTTTATTCACAAGGTCATTGTCACTGGGATAGAACAACTGGTCATGACACCCAGTTGTGCTTATGAAGGCTTGGAGCTAGTGGGAGATGGGTTGGCCAACTGAAGCCTCTTGTTGGCAAGGGGAGACACGGGCCAGGCCGGACCGGCACTTGGGGTTTATGAGCTGCCTCCTATCCTGGGTTTCCTAGATGGACCTCTCTCCCACGAGAGACCTAAGGAAAAGTGAGGAATGAACCAAGTGACACTAGCTCATTCAGGGCATGTGAACTAGTATCATGGCAAAAATGTATGGCACCCCAAGAATTGCCAGCTGATGCCTTTAGATGCACCCAGAAGGGAAGACGGGGACCCGTGACTGCCACAAAGCAAGAGAAGAGTGACAGAGTGAAGTGGTTGAATAGCCGGGGACAGAGAAGGGAGGCAGGCAGCAGTGACAAGACCTCAACAGGCAGGAGCTAGAATGGTCACAGAATTGTTCGTCTGTTCTGTTTTCCAAAATTTCAAACATCAGTCGGTGTCTGGTGTCAACGTCACCAAGTGTGGAAGAGCCTAGAGGAGCTTGCGTCCACTCAGTGCCCACAAGAGCCAGGCCCAGCGTGCTGCATACACCATCTCAATGTCCTTTATCAGCCTCTGAGGTGGGCATCCCTGCAAACTTCATGTCACAGATGAAGAAACCGTGGCTCAGATAATAGCAAACTGTCCAAGCCCACAGCACTTCAATGGCACTGCTCACAGAGCTTGCCATTCAAAACCGACTCCATGCCCACGGGCAAGAGTAAACCAAGTGGAGATTCTCACCCCAATGTAAGGTTTCGAGGACACAGAGGTGGTTAGTTCTGCCACTCTGCAGGTGGCTTTGTGGCCAGAGCTGCTTCTGGTCTCACTTTCCAGGCACCAGCCTTCTGGTCGGAAGGACCATGGGCATCTTTTGCCTGGACACTGAGATTTGGGGCACCAGAGGTAGACAAACTGGGGTGCAGTGGATCACAGGGTGGGTGAGACAAGATGGGGAGGAGCGTGTGGTCTCACCAAGGCCATCGGACATTGTCACAGCCTGGAGGCACCTTAAGGTGCAAGAACTGTTACCGGCCAGGACAAGAGCGAGTCAGAGCTGCACCTGGAATTGCAGTGAGTTATCGCTGTTTAGAAAAAAAGGACATGCAGAGACTCACTGGAACTACTCCTGTCCACGGGACCAAAGCTGTGCATGTATGTGCGTGCATACACATGTGGGAGTTGACTAGAGGAAAATGCAAGAGGCCACATCCAAGGTTGTGAATAGAGCCCACCTGCAGTGCAGGGATGATGAGGGGCAGAGCAGGTTCATGTGAAGGGCCAGGATAGAAAGAAGGCATCGGGACAGGAATGTCCGTAATTAAAAGCCAGCACACGTGATGTGTCCCCATTTATGCTCAATTATATTGTGCACACACCTGTGTGTGGTGTATGAGAGCCATAGAAACAAAGCAAAAATTCAATCATAATTGTCTCAACAGACTTGAGTTTTAGTTGACTTATATTTTCTTCATAAATTTTAAGAGTGTTTGTTTCAAGAAAGTTGAAGACCTCAGGTGATTTTGAATGGGGAAAATAATTTAAAATATTACTTTGGTTTAAACAATTCATAGGGCCATTTCTTAAAGTCCATTTCTTCCTTTAACTTTCGCTCAACTCACCAATCTTATTATTCTCTACATGAATCCAGCAGATTTGAATAAGCACTTTAAAGGGATTTTTGATTAATGTTTAGTCCCAATTATAAACTTAGTTCATTTTTCATCTTAGTATCATTTTTAATCTAGACTTAGTTCGTTTCATATCATACTGCATCTATCAATTACATATATTTGATTTCTTTTTTAAGTACTCTGATTTCCTGACTGACAAAGCCTTTCTGAGCATCCTAGTAACTATGAATAAAAGAAATTAAACTCATAAATATGTTTAGTTATTCTTCTCATTTTTTTTTAAGAGAGAGTGAGAGAGGAGAGAGAGAGAGAGAGACAGAGAATTTTTAATATTTATTTTTTTTAGTTCTCAGCGGACACAACATCTTTGTTGGTATGTGGTGCTGAGGAGCGAACCCGGGCCGCACACATGCCAGGCGAGCGCGCTACCACTTGAGCCACATCCCCAGCCCTCTTCTCATTTCTTAAATATCACATTACTGAGTCTAAACTTAGTAAAAGTCCCGTTTAGTTTCACCAGTCTTAGTCAATTGTCAGTTAAGCATTTAACTTAGAATTAGGAATCTGGTATGATCAGCTAATTTATTTTATAATTATTAAAAAGGGTTAAACTTCACAGGTGTCTTAGCATGAAAATTCATAATTGGGATCTTCTCTAAACATCTCTGTACTAAATTGCCACTCTTTTCTACTGGGACACTTGGCATCTTAAACAGTTTGAGGGACAGCTTCCAGAGCATCTCTAGGGACATCTTCTCAGTGCACAGCCTGGGAAACCCAGTATGGGGTCACTGACTGGCTTTGGTTTTGGAAACCCACTCCCTCCTGTTCTGTGCTTGCTGTGTCGAAGCTCTTCAGCTGGGGCTGTCATCCTCCAAGCCCCATGTCCCTCAGCACTAGCTCCAGGGCCACTGAGCAGCCATCCACTCCTTCTCAGCTTGCCCAGGTCCTTGATTTGATTCAACCAACCCATTTGTGGCTCCATTATATTTGAATTCTCTCTGTATCCCTCTCATCTAGAGACCTGTAATCACAAATATAACTCAACATCTCAGTGCATTCCGCATGACTTTGACTTACAGTGATAGTTCTAAGTCCGCCCATGCTTATGGGGTAGAATTCCATGAATGTCAGTCTGTACTCTGTAAAATCAGAGGAAAGAATCAATTGTGGGGGGGCAGGGATGAGGGGGTTTCCAGAGAGGTTTATGGGGAACACTTAGATGATCCCAAGCATATAAGATAAATATTAGCCCCCTAAAGGGTCAAGACTGGTATCCAGGCCAGCTTCTCATGTGCCACTCAACTGTCCATCAGAGAAGTAGGTAAAATGACCATTATTGAGGAGGCATTGAATTCCAGTGTCAGCTCTGACACAAGAAGAGCTTGCAGGGCATCCCTCTCCTTACCACAAGAAAACCTGAAACTAGCAACCGTTCTTGGATCTAGCAGAGAACTGCAATCACAGAGAAAAACCCACCTCCTGAAATCTAGAGAGAGAGAGAGAGAGAGAGAGAGAGAGAGAGAGAGAACACCTGAGGTCTACTTACCTGGGGCAGAAGCTTCTGGAGCCACAAAGTGGCAGGAACTCTATTACGTTTGCATCTGGACTGTCCCCAGAGGCTCTTGTGTTGAAGGCTTGGTCCCCAGGGCAGCAGTGTACAGAAGTGGGGTTCTGGGGAAGTGAGTGGATTGTGAGGATCTGCCTCATCAGTGGATTAACCCATTGATAGATTCGATGGCATTATTGGGAGGTGGTGAAAACTCTAAGTGGGTCCTACTTGGGGGAATTAGGTCACTGGGGCATGTCATTGAAGGCTACATCACATCCCTGACCCCTTCCACATAAGCAGTTTATAACAGGGCTACGAGTACAAGATTAACATACAATCCATATGCCAGTGATGAGCAATTGGTATTTGCAATTAAAAATATGATGCCCAAAAAAATAATTTACAGTTGCACCAAAACAAGGTCAGGCACAAATTTGATAGGTCTAACTTAAAGCGTGTACAGGATCTGTACGTGGAAAGCTGCAGGCGCCAATGAAGACCATCACATGAAGACCTTAACAGATGGGGAGGTGTTTCATGGCTGGGATTAGATCTGATATTGTCAAGATGTTGGCTATTCTCAGTTTGATTTGTAAATTTAACACAGCACCAATCAAAAGCACCACAAGCGATTTTATAAATATCCACAGATCGATTCTATGTGAAAGGGCAAAGGCCATACGACACCAACACAGTACTGAAGAAGAAGGCCGACGGACTCACACGACCTAATCTGGACACGTGTGGGAAGCTGCAGTGATAAGGTGGTATGCAGTTGTTCAAAAACTGGAGATGCGGATTGATGGAACAGAATCCAAACCAAAAAGAGACCCACGCAAATGGGGTCCACGGCACCAATCAGTTTAATGGAGAAAGGATTCCACAGATGGTACTGGAACAAGGGAATGTCCACCTGTAAAGAGACGAACCCAGATGTAGAACTCATACCTCGCACTAAAGTTAACTCAGAATGGAAGGAGGGAAGGGAGGGAGGGAGGGAGGGAGAGAAAGTCGGTGTGGTGCACATCAGTGGGACAAGAAGCCTGCAGAAAGAGTCCCAGTGGATCAGTGAATGGGGAGGGGACAATATGGAACAATTTGAGCTAAAAGAAAAGAAGTATTGGATTTTAACATACTATAAAATAAATATCCATAAAACCATAATGACATAAATAAACGATTAAATAAACGAGGAATAATACATCTCCCTGGCAAAAGAATTCCGAGTAACTTATGTAGCCGCACTGCCTCCAGGAGATGGGGCACAGCGCCCCCTCCTTAAGTGCCGGCTGTGCCTCATGGCTGCCTTCAGCAGAGTTCAGCATGGGGAATGGACACAGGGAAGAGAGACTCAGCAGCGGAGCCCTGAGGCCAAGGCGGCCTCACCAGGCGGCCAAGGTCAACATCCAGAGCGAGAAGGCATGGTGACAACGTGCATCCTGGTGTGAGTGCCGAGGATGAGCCCAGCACTCCGTGGGTCCCCCACCCAGAAGACATCAGGCAAAGTCCAGCTGAGGGCATCCCAGAGCACCTGGCATCGAAACTGTCAATCATCAAAAACAAGGGGAATCCGAACGGCCCCGGCTAAGAGGAGCCCAGGGCCGTGACGGTGGAATGTAATGGGGACCTTAGGCAGGGTCAGGAACACACACGGGTACACTGGCTCGGCAGCAAGGACATCTGGGTGACGTGTGGACTTCAGTCAGTAGTGCATCAGCACGCCTCTGGTAACCGTAGCGAGTGGACCACACCACGGTGCCACGTGTGAACCCCCGTGTGGCGCCCACGGGGAACTTCCACATCACCTTCACGACTTCTCTGCACATCTGGATGCGTTCTAAAATGTAAAGTTTATTTTTACAAAAACAGGACAGAAGAGAAGTCATCCTGTGAGGGTAGTAGTGAGGGACAGTGTAGCCTTTTATAGCTGCCGACTTCAGAAGACCTGCCGGAGCCCACGGTGGAGCTGAAGCACTTTGTGTTCTGAGAGATGCGATGGGTGAACTGGGGACAGCCACTGGCCCTTGGGAGAACTCTGCCCTGACCGTCACCTGGTGTGAGTGCAGTAGCACTTCCTATAGCTTCGGTTCTGGCACAGGCCACAGAAAAAGCCCTTTGGCAAGGACTCGGTGAAGGTGATACCGCTGCCGGCCCTGTCTTCAGGAAGGGGGCCTGGGCTGCGGAATCACACTGGGTTCCCACACAGGTTCTGGCCTTCTTGGGAAGCTTGGTGCCCTCCAAAGGCTTCAGCGGTGGCACCCTGGAGATGGAACTTCAGACTGGACTGTTAATCTCAGCACATGTCCTCAATCCTGACATAATTTCTTCCCTCCCCAAAACCTGGAAGATTCCTTAATATGAACAACTACATGCAGATTATCTCTTGAATAGGTTAAGCACACACACACCTGGCACACTAACACACATATAAATGTTGCTATACTTCAAATAGACACTTAAATATTGGGCTATGACTTTGAGTTCACCTTTACAACCTGACACAACCAGTTTTATGAATGACAGCATGAACTGAGTCATTTTGTTGACTCCAGATCTCTCCACCCATTTCTTGCTTGTACTGTTGTTCTTCAATTTTATAACCAAATAGAATCATCTGTACACTTTTACTATGCAACCTCTTCTGTTGCATGATGACCCTCTGTGCACTTTGATCTCTAGAGAAATGCAAGGATGGGAAATGAGCTACTTCAACTCAGTGCTCAAAGCAGAAATGTCTGTCTAGATCCAAGGAATATTGAGAACCCACTGAATTACAAAGAATTATCTATTAGGTGATAAAGAAAATGATGTGCCTCACATTGTATCTATACTTTGTCCCAAATTCCTTGTGCATTGCCTTTTTTGTGACCATAGCAAAATATTTACGGCTGGGTACTTCATAAAGGAGAGAAGTTTATGTAGTTCACAGCTCTGGAGGTTCAAGAGCATGGTGCCAGCACCAGCTTGGCTCTGGACAGGACCTCATGACACCACAACGTCAGATGGCACCACAGTGGCAGGAGCACATGCCCGAGAGGGTGTGTGAGGGCTAAAGACCACATCACAAGACAGGAAGCCAGGGAGCGATTCAGGGGCAAGCTTGCCACAAAAGCAACTTGCTCTCCCGAGAACCAACTCAAGGTCCCCTGAGAACTGTCTTAATCCCTTCCAAGGGCAATGCCCCAGTGACCTACAAGTCTCCCAGGCTTCGCCTCTTAAAGTGTCCCACACTAAGGACCAAGCCCCCTACACATGAACTCTAGGGGGACACACAATTATATGACAGGGATAATGAGAGCACCTATCTCATTAGATTGATAGGTGAATGGTCAAGAGATAGTATAGTATAGTTCTTAGTAAATACATGCTATCAAACTGACATAGGATGGGTATTCCCGGGTTGGAATCCCGTCTTTCAATGTTAGAATACATCAGTGCAGTGATGTCCCTGAATGTTTGTTAATAGTGGGGCAGCTTCAGTATACCGATATCTCATGCCAAGAAGGTATTGGGGGAGAGGAGGAATCTCTCTGCCCTCTACTTCTTTTTCTCCTTAGTTGACATAAATGGAGTATCAGAGTGCTGTCATTTCTCCAGGACCCCAGTGAAGATTGGGTGGACCCAAGGGGTGATCGAAGGAGGGATGGGGGAGAAGGGAGCCTTTGGCTTCTTGGGCTGCAGAAGCTTTTATCACTAAGACCCAAGAGGTCCCAGGATTGCTGGAATGGCCGCCTAACTCAGGGATCCAAGAGGGCAGCTAGTAAGTCCACTCAGAGAGGGCCCAGGCAAAGACACCCGGCTTCCATTCTATCTGGTGGATCTTGGGTCAGGGTTGGGAACTGGAAGTTGGTAGAGGACAGGAAAGTGAGAATGAGTGTCTGTGGGAGGCTTTGAGTGGCTGGGCCTGAGGGAGCTGCAGGAAGGGTTGGAAGGGGAAAGGTGTTAGACCCAAGACAGACATCTTGGACTTGGTTCAGAGGGCAACAGTCAGCCCCGATGGTGAAGGTCCAGCAAACAGGAATGAAGGCAGCAGCAGGAGGGAAAGAGCACGTGCACATGCCCACATGTGATGGGCATCGTTGGAAAGAGGGTCTGAGTTCAGATGAGCAACCACCTTTGTGCATTTGGCCAGTCCAGCCTCCTCTGAACTGGGATTTCCCAGTATTTACCAATGAATAATCTGAGTGGGTGGTGCGTTTGCGGAACATGAGTGCTATGGGTCCTCATTTCACAACAGGTGTGATGTGTCCCTGAAGAAGGCAGATGTATCAGGAATCCATCCTCAACCGCATTTGAAATCAAGTGTGCAGGTGACTGATAGTTGTATTGAGGACAAGAGATCATGGCTTGTCTTTTTTGAAAACAAGTTAAACAGTTAAGAATTACTTTTTAACTTGGTAATTCTCTAGCATGTGTATATACTTAGGGATATGTATAAAAATATTATATATATATGCATATGTGTGTGTGTGTGTGTGTGTGTGTGTAATTTGAGATGTTTGCCCTAAGGTAGTGTACATTTGAAAAATTGCTTTATCTCTGACGCCCGTGTGAGCATCATAACATTATCAAATAAGAACTGAAGATCTCATTTATTTCCAGGCTTACTTTATGTCCATTCATGCGCCAATATTTGTTGACAGAAACTAAAAGCAACATTGTAGCTCATCTTGATGCCTATCCTAGGAAGAATTTCCCAAGCCATCTCTCCACCTGGTGGAGATTTCCCATCAACATCCTGGTCTCTCTCCTGATGCCTTGCATTTCTGATGAGAGGTAGTTGTGAGAGAGACACTCATTTTTGCAAGGCAGCAGGATGGATGGAATGGAATCCTTTCCCTTCCTACCCTCCTAACGTGCTTCAACAGTGGACCAAGCACACGCTGCCAGAGAGTTAAATATGTGTCATGTATGTGCCTCCAGATTCGTTCTTATTTAACCAAATCCCGTTTGAAGCCTGTGTTTGTGTTAAGTTGCACATCCATGGGAATCAATTAGTTAATGAAAGATACTATATTGCCTCAATTTCTTGGAGGAGGAAAGTAGACTGGATAATACAAGATTTGAAGAATCCAGATTTTCTTTTCCAATTAAAAAACATCCCCATTGTATTTGTCCCGTCCTAAATGTTGTTCAATTCTCTGATACAGATGTTGTTAAGACACTGGATTATTTTACTTCTTCTTGATGTCATTCATCATTTAGTTCTCTGAAAAATAGGAAAGGCCAGGCAGTTCCCAGGGACCCCAGCATGTGGGGTGGGACATACTGAAGCGCTATGTCCTTCTTAGCCTGTGTGGGCAGGTGGTCATGGGAGAGGCTTTTCTAGATACCACCTGTCCTTTCGAGAACTCTACATATGTTCACATGGATGCTGCTACTCAGAAACCCTCTGATCTTCACATATGCTGTGCTATGACTTTTCAACTCACACTGGACACCTGCCCAGGCATTTCTCTGGGTCATGCTGGTAACTTCACTAGAAGGCTGCAAAGACAGAAGGAATCTCCAGTTAGTTGGTATATGGATGTCTCTGGCATCGTCATGTGTAAGTGTAGTATGGTGGGAAAAGAGATCATTTGGATTTGGGTTGAGGGTGTTGGAATACACTCTTTTGATTCTGAGCATGGCCATCCTGCCCATTTGAGCCATTTTTAACCTGTGTTTATGAAGCCCATGTGTCATGATGCAAGAAAGTTTGGAATGTTGCCAAGAGATAAAAAAGGAATTTCCATTGGGACAGAAGTGGCAGGTAGGAGAGTGGAGAGACAGCAGGTGGGCGTGGCTCGGCAATGACTGGCAAGGGGGTGGGGTCTCAGGGACAAGCAAGGGCCTGTGCTCTGGGTTCCAGAGGAAGCACAAGGCCCCATGTTACCTGGGGTGCAAGGGGTGCAGCCCCAGAGCCATCAGCTGCTCTGATGGCGAATCTCATAAGTAACTCATTAAGTTCCTCCCCGATGCCTCCCACATCAGGACTAGGGTGGCCAGGAACTTAGCTGGGGCAGCCCTCCTTCCCCTCCAGGAATGTACCCTGGAGGCATGTAATGCTCATCAGTGAAGGTTTTGAACTTCTAGATCTCCTCGATTATAAAGGAGGGTGAGTCTGAAACTCTTAGGTCTCTGGACCTTTTATAATCTCAAAAACTATTGAGGCTCCCCAAAAGTCTTTGTTTATCTGGGTTTTATCTATCAATATTTGCTGTATTAGAGATTACACTGAGACATTTTTAAGAAATAAATGATAAGAAATCCAAGAAAAATGAAAAATAATGTAGCGGGAAGGAGAGGCCATATTTTCACTTCTGCAGACCTCAGTCCGGCTTACAGCTGCACAGTGTGTCAGCTTCTGAGTTCCACCTGCTGTGTGTGTTAGTTTGGTTGAAGACTGTGAAGAAAGCACGGCTCACATAGAGGTGAAGTCGGCAAAGCGAGCCATAATGACCTTTCCAAAGCCTTGTGCTAGTCCTTTTTGATACCACACCAAAATTTGAGTGGTCACTTTTAGAGATTGGTTACTATGCAGAACAGAGACCTCATCTATGGCCTTTGCCTGCTTTGTTGCATTCAAATCCATCAGTGTTTCTCTCCCTTTGAGAGGGTTTGCGCATCCCGTTTCTGTAACACCACACACGGGTTGAGCCATTTAGTCATATGGATATTCCAAACGTTGACATACCCCATTATGCAATATTTTTTAAAACCACATTATTTCACATCCTTTATTGGTACATTCTGGTTGTACATATGGATGGGATTTGTTGCCAAGTATTTGTCTGCCCACCACAGAACCATTTGATTTGGCCACTGTCACTCTCAGCACTTCTCCCTCCCTCCCACCACCCCTTGATCTCTTTACTGATCTCCCTTTGATTTTTCTGAGGTCCACCCCACCTTTCTTTTCCCTTTTCCTCTCTAGTTTCCACAGGTAAGAGAAAACATATGACTCTAAAACTTCTGAATTTGACTTATTTACTATGATATTCTACAGGTTCATCCATTTTTCTACAAATGCCATAATTTCATTTTTCTTTATGGCTGAATAAAATCCCATTGTATATACAGACCTCATTTTCTTTATCCACTTATCTATGGATGGGCATCTAGGCTGGTTCCATAACTTGGCTACTGTGAACTGTGCTGCTGTTGACATTGATGTGGCTGTGTTTTATACTGTGCTGATTTCTTAGTTCTTTTGGATAAATACCCAGGAGTGGGATAGTTGGGTCATATGGTAGCTCCATTCTTAGGTTTTGGAGGAGTCTCCACACTGCTTCCCAGAGTGGTGGTAGGCAGTCCCACCAACGATGTACGAGGATACCTTTCCCCCATATTCTTGCTAGTGGTTATTATTTTAGATTCTTGATAATTGTCATTCTGACTGGAGTGAAATGAAATATCAGTGTAGTTTTGATTTGCATTCACTGATCAGATGCAATAATTTTAAAAAAATCTGATCTGTGATTGATTGAGCCCACAGCTGCAGAACCTGCAGGTGTGAGGGACCCTCCCTGCCGTCCACTGGGCAGCTTAGGACAACAGAAACTATTTTCCCATATTTGGAGGCTGCAACTCCAAACCAGAGTGTGAATGGCTATGTTCTCCCTGACTGCCTCAAAGGAGACTGTTTTCACATCTCCTGGGGTCTACAGTGTTGCTAGCCATGCTGGCCTCCTTGGCCTGCAGATGTCACTGTGTTCACCCTGTCACCCTACCCTGTGTCCACATCACTTTCCCTTCAATTTCTGTCTCCAAATTTCTCCTTTTTATAAAGGCACCAGTCACTGTGGATTAACCCCACCCTAATGATCTCATTTAAATGTGATTAGCTCCGTAGGGACCTTATTTCCAAAAAAGGTCACAGTTTGAGGTGTGGCAGGTGAAGAGTCCCCCATGAATTCTGGGGAGAACATAATCAAACCCATACATTTTAAAACATGAAATACCTTTAAAAAAGAAATACATCTTAAAAGGTACATCAGGTTTCTAAAGCATCTGGATAGCCTCGAGTCACACTAAAGCCTCAGAGGATTCACCCATGATGCTTTGCACCATCAGCCAGAAAGGCAAATAATCTCATGGTATTAGCCTGACATCAGCTTCTGATCCCAGCAACCCTCTGAAAACTCTGTGGACCACACCTGAGAACTTTTGATGTGGACTAACTCTATGGTTCTATCATATATACTTGTGCTTGACTGTGTGTGTATAATACAGTTTCCCCTCAGTCTCCACGGCGATTGTTTCCCACACCCCCTCCGATACCAGAATCCAAGGATGCTCAAATCCCGTATATGAAGTGGTGCAGTCTTTGCATATGACCTACATCCATACTCCTGCATACTTCAAATCACCTCCAGATTATTTATAATACCTAACAAAACGCAAATGGTATATAAATACTTGTTACACTATATTGCTTAGAAAAAATGGCAAGAAAGATGTCTGTACGTATTCAGTACAAATGCTTTAAAAATAGTTTTGATCCACATTGGTCAAGTTCTCAGATGTGGAGCCCAGGGCTGTGCAGGGCGTGCCATAAATATCTACTTATACCCACAGCTTTTCAGATTACATGAACCTCTGGCCTGAGTGACTATCCAGGTCTTCCATCCATGAGTAAGAACCTCCATGCCCAGTGCAGGCTGCACAGAGTGTTGGCACAGTGGAGCTGGCAGTGGGGTGCAGAGAGGGACCTGTCTGTTGTTCGTGTGACCTTCGTGTTATAAATCTCAGAGGTCCCAGAGTCAGAAGAAAACACACTTGAATCCTGGCTTGGCTTCTCATCAGCCTTCGAGGTGTAGTGGGCCTGAATTTCCCTGATGCTCACCTTCTGCACCTGTGAGGTGGAGATAACACAGCCAGCTCCTAAATGGCACCAGGATTGACGAGCTTTTAAACCCCCCTGACAGGGAGGCTCAGAAACCTTCAAAATACAAAATATAAAATGCTCCCAAATTCAAAACTGAGCCCTGATGTGACACTAGCGGAAACTTCCTTGCCTGCCCTCATGTCAGGAGTCACAGTCAAAATACAGGTGTGCTAAACATATCGCATAAGATGACCTTCCGGGTATGTGGATAAGGTATACACAGATTTCAAGTTTAGGCTTGAATCACAACCCCAAAATGTCTCATCATATAATCAAATGTCCCCAAATCAAAAAACAAATCAGAAACCTTAAACATTCTGATCCCAAGCATTTCAGACGGAGGATGCCCAACCTGTATTAGAGCGTATCGCAGCACAGTCTGCACAGCACTGACCTTCTTTATCATCCATCCATGCATCATGGAGTTAAAAGGTAGAAATAGATTATTTCTATCTTGAATACCAAATATTTTAAGCTCAAAACTGAGGCTAAGGTCATGCTCACAAATAACAGTGTTCAGAGGGGGAAATGGTGCATGTGGTGACTCTGTGCATTCGACTCAGCGTCTTCCTTCTGCACTGCGCTTACAGGCTCCGACTCATGCATCCTCTACACAATCAATGCACCTGTGATCCCTGACATGGTCATGTTTGGAAATAGCCACACGAGGTTTGCTCATGGGGAAGGAGGAAGCTGGCCTCATACATGGCAGCTGTCTCCCCAGTGTGTGCACAGGTGTGTGATGCTCCCCAAGTCCACAGCACCCAGGACCCCCAGCCACTGTGCATGGGGGAGAGCACCATGCTCAAGGGCACATTCTTGTTGCTTGCTGCACCACACTTCAGCCAAGCAAAAGAAACAAGGTCTGAACCAGCCAGACTCCGTGAACAGTTTAAAGGTGTTTGTTAGAAAAAGCTCAGAAACTAACTCCCTGGATTCCAAGATCTAAAATCCTCTAGGTCTCCCTACTACAGGTTGTGATTTCCAAGGAGCTTTTCTTCCATAGATGCTTAAGCCCAATTTGACCACAACTATCAAGACCATTCAAAACCCATATGTATTTGGAATATGTTACAAGACAAAGCACATGACCCTTTCAGTACATTGGCATTAGTCTTAATTTATAAAGGATATGTAATTATGAAGGAGAATGACATCTGAAGAGAATTCCATTTAATTTAATAATTTATTGAGCACTGACTTTAAAAGTTAGAGCAAATTATATTCCAGGCTTTTATAATTATGTCAAAATGAATACTAATGTTATGTATCACTAAAAAGAAATAATAAAAATACTGAACAAAAATGAGGAAACAAAAAAGATAATATGGAATGTTGACACAGATGCACTGAGATTTGCATTCTGATCCCATTTGGAGGTGAGTTTCTATAAGACAACTGGACATCATATACAAAGGCCATTAAAATGGTCACCCCAGTGAGAAGCGGCTGCAGCGCCGAGAGGAGGCAGAAGGCAGATAACAAGAAGCCGCTGGGTGGGCACCATGGCCGGGATCACCACCGTCAAGGCGGTGAAGCGCAAGATCCAGGTTCTGCAGCAGCAAGCGGATGATGCCGAGGAGAGGGCTGAGCGCCTCCAGCGGGAAGTTGAGGGAGAAAGGCGGGCCCGGGAACAGGCTGAGGCTGAGGTAGCCTCCTTGAACCGAAGGATCCAACTGGTTGAAGAGGAGCTGGACCGTGCTCAGGAGCGCCTTGCTACTACCCTGCAAAAGTTGGAGGAAGCAGAAAAAGCTGCTGATGAGAGTGAGAGAGGTATGAAGGTTATTGAAAACCGGCCCTAAAAGATGAAGAAAAGATGGAACTCCAGGAAATCCAACTCAAAGAAGCTAAGCACATTGCAGAAGAAGAAGATAGGAAGTATGAAGAGGTGGCTCGTGAGTTAGTGATTATTGAAGGAGACTTGGAACGCACAGAGGAACGAGCTGAGCTGGCAGAGTCCCGTTGCCGAGAGATGGATGAGCAGATCAGACTGATGGACCAGAACCTGAAGTGTCTGAATGCTGCTGAAGAAAAGTACTCTCAAAAAGAAGACAAATATGAGGAAGAAATAAAGATTCTCACTGATAAACTCAAGGAGGCAGAGACCAGCGCTGAGTTTGCCCAGAGATCGGTAGCCAAACTGGAAAAGACAATTGATGATTTGGAAGATAAGCTGAAATGCACCAAAGAGGAGCACCTCTGTACACAAAGGATGCTGGACCAGACTCTGCTTGACCTGAATGAGATGTAGAGCTCCCCAGTCCCGCCCTGCTGCTGCTCCTCCCTCTGACCCTGACTCCGCCTGAGGCCAGCCAGCCCGAAGCTGACCTTGAAACTCAGGGCTGATCTTTAACTGGAAGGCTGCTTTCTCCTTTCAACACCCCCTCAACCCCCTACCCCCTTGTCTTTTTCACCAAACTGTCTCTGCTTCTTCCCAGAGATTCCAGCTGGGCTAGAGGCTGAGCACCTTTGGGAACAGCATTTAAGGGAATGTGAGCACAACGCAAAGTGTCTTTAAAAGCATGTTGTGATGTACACATTTTGTAATTACTTTTTTTTGTTGTTACAGTAACCATTTGTAAAACATTCCAAATAATTCCATAGCTCTGAAGCAGCAATCTAATTCCCTTCTCACTTTTGGAAGGTAACTTTCCAGCCTAATCCCTATTGCCCTCTCCATAGAGGAGGAAAAGAGGAATGGGCCTGCCTTACTGAGAGCCAAACAGAGTCCAGGAAAGACTCTACTATGGCAAACCTCATTGCTCTGTGCAAAGTACTAGCCAAACCAGAAAGGTGATTCCAAGAGGAGTTAGCCAAAAAACAAAAACCTTGCTATTCAGGTTTTGTTTTATTTTTAGCTTTAAGGTATCTTTAGACAACTGTATTCTTATTTTTTACTTTTTTTCATCAGAAATGACCAAATTAACATGGTGAGACCTCTGAGACTTTTTGTTTTTCTGGTGCTGGGGATTGAACCCAGGGCCTCGTGCTTGTTCGGCAAATGCTCTACCACTGAGCCATATTCTTAGCCCTGAGACCAAATTTTTCTCCCATCTCTACCCACTTCCCAAGTGTTCACAGAATGGATCATGGGCCTCTTAATCTTGCGTGACCACTTAATTGCTCTCCTGCTTGCTTGAGAAAAAAAAAAAAAAAGAAAGAAAGAAAGAAAATTATGTTTTGGCCACTGATTTAGCCATATGAACTCATCTCATCACCCTTTTCTGGGTCTGAAGCTGCTGTATCTAAAAGTGCCATCTCATTGTGCTTTGTATCAGTCAGTGCTGGAGAATCTTGAATAGCTTATGTACACAACTTTTAAAATTTTATATTATTTTGAAACTGCATCTTTGGGGTGGGGTACCTGGCCACCTCGTCTGGCTGTGAGAGTCCTGCAGTCTGGGCTGCCAGTGTGCTGATCTTTCAAAGTTTCTTTCCCAGCCCAATCCCCACTTTTTTAGGTGAGGTTTCGTGAGGTCTGTTAGGTGTACACCCTGCAGCTTATTGGCTTAAAATGTATTCTCCTTTGTTGTGGTCTCTTTGGGGCCAGTTGGGAGAAAGACAAACAATAGTGCAACTGTTTTGATACTGAATATTGACAAGTGTCTTTTTGAAATAAAGAACCAGTCCCTCCAAAAAAAAAAATGGTCACCCCATTGCTTTCATCTGTAATTATCCATATTCAAGAAATAAGAGGTATAAACAAAGACGTATTACATTCATAGAGTCAACCTAGTGCTTAATAATAATAAAATTTGTTTCCAAGGAGCTAATGGATGCATATATGAATGATTGTGCATTGACTTGATTCCATATTTTACAAAAAGAATAAATGATGTATCTAAATAAGTTTTCATAATATAGGCAGAATTCATATGATATAGCTAAACTTTTTAATGGGATTTGAAATTCACACCTTGTATAATCTTGGCAAGGTAAAAAAGCAAATGTATAATCTGAGCAAGAAACATGACTGTTAAAATGGTCATTTCTCTCTGGGTTACAAATATGAGTGATGTTATTTTTGTGCATTTTACTTATCTATTATCTATTATCTATTAATTTGGTGCTGAGGATTGAGCCCAGTGCCTCCCACATGCTCAGTTCCCCTACTAGGCTATATCCCCAGTTGCGTTTTCTAAATCAAATTTCTATTAGTTTGCTCAGGAAAAATTAATCAAGAATGTGATAGAATGTTAAGAAATCGATGCTGTGTTCTGAGACATTGATAGGAGGTCATCTGAAACAACCACCTCTGTCCTGGAACGTGGAGAGCCCAGGAAGAGTCAGTCTGTTTGTGGAGGCCAGGAATCTCTATTCACTGATGCTCCCAGACCGGGAGCTGGACTGTTAGTTCTTTCAGTTGTTCAAACCCGTGATCTTTATTTTCCACTATGAAAACTGACTTTGAAAAATAATCAAGTGACATTAAAATCTCAACTGCAAAAGGACATCTGTCAGTTAGCCCAGCTGAGGTGCTACACCTGTGTCGTCACAGTCAGAGAGAGAGGTAGCTCTGGGTGACAGGCGGAGAGACCTGGGTGTGTCCTGTTCTCAGCTGCTCTGGTCAGCCATGGACACAGTGCTGTGGCATAGTGCTGTCTGCTGGTGCAGAGTCTGCTCTCGAGGACTTAGCTAGTGCAGTGCCTCCACTCCAGGTGGCATGAGCCAGGTGTAAGCAGGGTGCTGATGTTGCTCTAGTCCAGGTTTTGTCCTGGATTAGGGATTGATAGAGGAAGCTGATTATAGATACCCACACAGAAGTCTCTGAGTTCAAGCAAGAGAGGCATACCTCTCCTCCAGGTGTTGTCTAAGGTTTTTAGGAAAACACTGGCTTGGTAAAAATCTCATTAAAAAAATAGATCCCATTTTTGATAGGAGACCAACAGAAATGGTTGCGTATCTTGGCTTGCTTATCACTGACTCTACAGAAGGATGCTGGTGTGAAGTCCAGTTTTACAGTTGGGCCCTCCTCGGGGGAGTCTTGGATGCAAACATGCAAGGGTTTAAAAAAAGGAGAAAGAGGCAGCCCTATTGCTTTGGTAAAGCTTTTGGACAAATGGCACTCGTTCACCATTGATTTGGCCTACAGGGACCGCCTCACTTAGGCACTAACAGACCCACCTTCATATTTCACCTTATCTCCCTATGCAACATCAGCACCCTGCTTACACCTGGCCCACGCCACCCCAGATGCTTCCGGAGCACAGGTGTCTTAGAACACGGGCTCCCACCCCGTGAGTGCCTGCGGTGGCCAGGATAGCCAAAGGGTGGCCAGGCTGGAAAAGGGGCATTTCCAGCAGCATGGGCTGGGCAACAAGTTACCTGATACCTCCACCAAGGACAGAGGCAGGCTTCACCGTCACCCAGCCGTCATACCTAGCCAGATGTGCCATCCCCACGTACTCGCTGGTTCCTTCTCTGTCTGGGAAAGTGACTCCATCGGGACAGTGACTGATGACCTCACCACTGTACACCCCCAGCACCCACTTTGGTGCCTGCCGTCCAGGCATGTGATAAATATTTGTGAAACTGAATGGACAAATGAAGGGGAATGAGGTGGGAGGCTCAGCGACGGGCCAGGACACACCCGCTCGGTACCAAGAATGAGGCTTGGCAGAAGGCACAGGTCTCGTGGGAGAGACGGAGCAGCTGCCCGGAGAAGCATTTAAGCCCCAAACTACATCAGAGCCCGTACAGAAGGGGCAGACCTCTGGCAGGACAGAGGTGGAAGACATGGGGGCTCATGGGACCCACAGAGCCAGGGGTGTGAAACCTCCCCTGCCCCCATCAATATAGGGTGAAAGCAAGATAAAATAGGTCATGTCTATAAAGCATGAACTTTAATAAACTAAAAATACATAGAAGGACGATCTGTGGAGGAAGAGAGCACAGTGGGAGGGAGGGAGGGAGGGGAAGGTAGTGGGGACTGAATTGGAGAAAGTCACATTCCTAGCTTGTTAGGCGTGTCAAAGTCAAACCCAATATTAGGCATAACCACAGTGCACTCGTAAAACACAGGTGATGATGTAGAAATCAGGATACAGGCTCAGCTATTACTTAAAGTTAAATGACAGTGTTTTAATCCGTCTTGTGTGACACCTGAGATTTGAAGTTCACTCCTCACAGGGAAGTGGTATGGAGGGTGACTGGACATTTTAGAGGGACCTCCCTGTATCTTTAGGGCTTATCATGAGGGAATTAAGAAGAATGTGAGTTCTCCAATTAGGGCTCCTGAGTACTGGAGCTAGGTCATTCCAGAGCCTGGGAACTGGAGCCGAAGTCCTCAGGGCTAACCCAGGACTCAGACCCTCCTGGCCCTCACGCAGCAGGTGGGTGTGTTGGAAGTGCTGGGTGCCCTTTCCAGTACATGAAGGAAGGTCCTGGGGGTGGAGGTAGGAGGAAGCACACTGTGCCCAGTTCTTGGAAACCGGGTTCCTATGGCCTCAGAGTTTGCTAAGGAGGGCTGTGCTCCATCTTCCTCCCTTGTAGCCACAGATTGGAGGGGACTCTAAACGGCTGTGCCAAGGGCCTCAGGTGCCATTATAAAGGAGATGCTGAAAGGGGGAGGTTCTGCCTTCAGGGGAGAACGGTTCCCCCTTTCTGAAGCTGGCCTCCTTAGCCCCCTGTGTGGGGACACTGGAAGATTCCAAAGTCCTAAGCCATGACCATGCAGGACTGTGAGGGGCTGCCTCTGGGAACTGGTCTTGACTCAGCTTCACGGAGAAGGAGCCCATATCCCGCCTGCTGTCCTCACAAAGTCTGTCCTGGCCGCCTCTTCCCCTCTCCATACCGCCAACTAGCGGTGTCTCTTTGCTTCTAGAAATAGTCGGCAGTGGCCGCCTAGATGTGTTCTGTGTGGAACCCCCAAAGTTCCATGGATTCCCCTGCAGTCTTCAGGTGTTAAAGCTCTCTGCCTTGAAAAGACAGACGTGTGCACACAGCGGAGCCATCAGCAGTTCACGGTGCAGTAAAGGTGGATGCACATGTATTTGGGCGGCAACTTAAAAGCTGTTTGTTCCTATCAACTTTATGAGGCTCCTAAACCCATGTGCATGCCAGGAAGCGGCTTCCTTGGCCTTGTGGCTTACGCACAGTCCACCTGTCACCTGGGTCTCCTTATGTGCGGGCTTCCTGGGTAAACCTTGGCATACGAGATACAGCACAGCATGTAACATGAAGGGACAATACGAGGCAATACTTAAAAGTTTCACGAAATGTAATCACCCGTGTCATGCTATTTAAGTATTCTTGGGAATGGCATTCATTTCCTCTGCTAGATATAATGAATTACCCCCCTTCTGGGTGGCTTGTCCTCCAATAGTTCCAGGGGACAGATGTCTACAATCAAAGCGTCAGTGGGGCCGGTTCCTCTGGAAGCTCTGAGGGAGCCTCTGTCCATTCCCTCTCCGGCTCCTGCTGGTCACTTGTACTCCTTGGCACCCCTTGGCTTGTGGACCCGCCACTCCAAGCTTGGCCTCTGTCTTCACGTGGCCTCTCCCCTGTCTGTAGGTCGTTTCCTTTTCTGTCTCTTACCTTGGACTTAAGGTCCACTCCAATTCAGGATGAGCTCACCTTGAGATCCTCAGCTCAGTTAATCTGCAAAGATCCTGATTTCAGATGAGGTCACATTCTGGCGTCCCAGGGGTCAGGATGGGGACATTTTTTGGAGGAGGGTCACAACTCTGTCCACTCTGAGGGATGGAAATTAAAGTGGAAAATATCATCCCCCCCCCCAAAAAAAAGCACCATTTTCCTGTAACACACACACTGAGGGGTCTCCGTGACCCAGCACACTGCAGCCACCTCACAAAGACGATGTGCCTTCTCCGTGCGCCAAGGGTGGGGACTGAGCAAGCAGCATCCTGCAGTGCGCACGGGCCTGCCGTCTTGTTACTGAGGAAAGATGTGTCACCGGAGCCATCCTTCCTGGTGGAACGCAAAAGCAGCTGTCTCACAGCGGTCTCCCCACTACGACGGCATCCACCAGACGACGCGAAACGCATTTTGTAGCAATCTAGCTCTTTCCAGCCTTGCTCCTAGCTCCCTGGCTCTCCCTCAGGCACTAGGCTGATTATCTGAGCAATTTAACTTCATTAACTTCATTGGGGGACTGAGTGGGACTGATCCCCCTCTGGGGTGCTGCAGGGAGAGTGACAGAGAGCTCCTCTCACTGAAGAGACCCTTGCTCTGGATCTCCAAAGGTCCACTGTTATCATAAGACCCATGTGCAGGTCGCGTCCGAGAAGGGCAGTACCTGGCCACTCCTAGACAGCTCCCTTTCTGTGTTCAGGCAGTCATGGAAGTTTCCAGAAAAGGAGCTCATTTCACAGGAACACCAGCGGCTACTGCTCCCACCCCTCCCCAAGGACTCCCAGGCATCACTGAAGGCTCTGACAGAATGGCTGTGGCCCCTGCTCCTCTGCTCAGGAACCTCATTTGTGCCTTGATTGTAGGTTTATCCTCAAATTATCCAATGGGAGGAGAACTGCTTAACAGGAAGTGTGGCCTTCGCTCTTGGTAGACCAACCTGCATGGGAACCAAAGGACCACGGGAGAGAACAGCTGTGGCACGTCGGTACAGAGGGTGGGAGTGGCAGTGTAATATTTCAGAGCGTGGCCACATGGACTGCCCTGCACTGCTCCCACTGAGGACGCTCGGCCAACCCACCCACGGCTCCAGACGGCTGGGTCAAGTCCCCTCTGCTCCAAGGCACGCGGGAGGCCTTCCCCGGGCTCCACTGCTCTCCCTCAGCTCCAGCCCTCTGCAAACTGACACCTCCCTTCTCTGGCTTTGATAGGCTCAGTCCTGGTGTCTCAGGTCACAGTCAAACCTGGCTACCGTAGGACCAATCTGTGCCTTTAAAGTGAATGTCTGGAGGTTTGGGAACCTTGGACTCCCTGAGCATCAGGAGAGACCAGTGGATTCTTGCCACTGAGCATCATCTATGTGCAGGTGCACCAAGTCAACACTGAGAGCCACCCGTGGCCACCCGAGGAGCCCACAGAACCCTGGCCGGTGACTGTCTGCTCCAAGCAAGTGTCTCATCTTTCTGATTCTCAGGGCCATTTGTCCTGGTCCCTATATAATCCCTTCACTGCTTGACAGAGCCGGAGAAGTGTGAGGATCTGCCGTCCTCATGGGGAGATGACTGCCAGACAGCTGCTTTTGTGTTCCACCAGGAAAGGTGGCTCCAGTGACACATCTTTCCTCAAATACGTAAATCAAAGTAAGTTACCAAATATATAAATCAAAATAAGTTACTCTTAACAAACTTATTTATGCCAGGTTCACTTTTGAAGATGGGAGAAAAAAGAAGAAAGAATGCTTAAATTCTCTTGAGTCAGAAGACTTCTTGATTTCCAAAGGGGCTGCTCCTGATCAGCCCAGCCTGAGTCCAGACTGCACTGGGCATACCTGAGCTGCCACGGGCTCTGGCTCAGCCACACAGCACACCCAGTCCTGCCATCCCCTTGGTGAGGCAGGGCCAGCCAGGAGCCAGGGCCGCTGCCACTGCGGCATGTCCAGAGGACTCACTGCCTGTCTCTAGCCAAGCCCCAGAAAAGATCCAAATTCAAAACTGAAGTAGTTCTTCCAAATGTGTATTGCTTCTGCACCATCATGAAGCTGGGCCATCGTAAGTTGGGGACCATCTGTGTCATACAGGAGCAGAGGCATAACCTTAGAGAAAATTCTAGACCCATGAAAGTGCGTTTTTGATTTGCTCATTACACATTACATATGTGTCTCAAGTTACTGTTCCCCATAAACTTGTGTAATTAAAATAATAATTTATAAAAAAGAGTATCCTCAAGGGATGAAGTATGGGCACTTGGTTACTATGTCTACTATCAGTTGTGACATGTGACATCACACTGCCAGCCATAGCCAATGACCATACTCATACGCCATCAGATAGGATGGGCTCTCTCTGTTCCCACCACCCCACCTAGGCAAACCAACATGGACCTGAAACAAGAAGCTACCACAGAACAGAGTACCAGCCTAGGACCTATAGCACCCACCCTGTGGTTTAAAGAGGTCATATGAGAAAATTTCATCATTGAATGAATTTTGTGGTTACTTCTCATTGCATAGCCCCCAAACCACAGGGACCTGACATTTCATTACAAAATAAGGGTGGAGAGAGCAGAGATGAGCAGCTACCTGGGTCGCATGAGAGGGAGATGCATCTACCAGGGCATACAGGTGTTCCTTATGTCCTTCTCTGTTCTTTTTGTGTGAATGAAATATTTCCTCATAAATTATAAGAGGACATGTAAAAGTACAACAAATCAAATGTTCATCTGCAACTGGAAAACAGTCCCCCACATTTCCCCCACAGTAGCCCCCAGCAAGCTACTGCAGATCTGCAGGGGAGCTATTGATTGGCGCATGGGCATCTGGTATCTCCAACCCTCTACTGACCACTGAAGAGCAAGAGGCTCAGCTTGACCTGTCACATGAGCTGCTGGGATTCAAATCATAGAGGTCTGGTGGGACCATTCCACTGGAAGCTTTTTGTCCCACAGACTGGGTCTAACCCCTGTTACTCAGGCAAAGAGGCAGGCAGTTCATTTTGATGGGGAAATGAAGTTGTCATCTGAGGAGGAAACTAAGCCTAATATCTGCAAGCCTGGAGCTCCAGGGACTGGAAATGAAATTTCACAAGGCTGGAATTATGATGTAAGGAAAACAAAGGGTATTTCACCAAATATCTGTAAGACCCCCCTGCCCCATGCCTGTGGTGCAGAGAGAAAGGCAGTCCTCCCAGATAGCAGAGAACTTAGAAGAGCTCCAGAACCTGGAAGATTTCAAAGCACAAGATCTCCCATTTGCAGCTCAGAGCATTCGTCACATAGGAATGGAGTATCTTTGGGGAGGCAGCAGCACTTCTCAGAGATGGGGGATAACGTTGAGCCCAGGAAGTGCACACATGCACAAAGGCAGGCAACTCAGTCTTTATTTAAAGCAAAATAGAATTTATCCAAGCAGACAAGATGGTGCCATCTTGACCAAAGGTCCTTTGGATAATCCATAGCATGCAGTAAGAAGCCTTTATATGCGGATTGTTGTTTCCAAACATAATAAAAGCTACTAGAATTCAGTAGAAGGAAAAGAAACAGAACACTGATTCCAGCATGCTCTTCTCAAACGTTGGCAGATCAAGTAGACCAAAAAATAAGTAAGAGCACAGAAGACTAGTCATTAGTGAAGTCAAAACAATAGCAGACTATCAAAGACTAAGGTCATGACTCATTTTAAACTGAGTCAAACAAGACATGTTCTGTAGTCCACCGTCTTTGACTGCAATATATAAAGTGAGAAGTCTGCCTCCTGCCTAGAGTTGTTGAGGAGACCATCATAACTCCATGTTCCCACTCCACACCTGACCCACCTGCAGTCTCACCTCTGCATCACTCCCGCTCTGCAGACTGCTTACCTGGAGTCACCTTTAGTGCCCATACAGCCAGGCCGCATTACACTTCTGAGTTACTCTCTGCCTCGAACATTCTTCCTCCTTTGTGAAGAAAGTTCCAGAATATCAGCCTCCCATGACAAAATACATGTGTGTATAGCAGCTACTGGGCCATCAACTAGGATCCCAAGCAATTAAGACAAAATCTGTGGCCTCAGGGAGTTTACAATCTGGAAAGCAGTGATGGAGGGAGAGATTGAAGAATGGATAAAGTACCTCCTCTAGCGAACACCAGCTGGAGAGTGCCATGTAGTTCCAGGTCAGACATGGGGGGGGGCATTGGTGAGAGCCCCTACAGTGCTGTCCACAGGCCACATCAGGCCTTTGGAAATGTCCCATCCACCCAACTGATACATAGATAGGTCTATGCATTAAGAATCCAATAATGCTTCACACACAGTTAAGAACACAGTGCATTTGCCCCACACACCTCAGATATAGCAGAATCTCTAGGATATATATAAAGAACTCAAAAAACTTAACACCAAGAAAACCCACAAACAATCCAATCAATAAGTGGGGTAAGGAGCTGAACAAACACTTCTCAGAAGAAGATATACAATCAGTCAACAAATATATGAAAAAAATTTTAACATTTCTAGTTAGAGAAAGTTAGAGAAATGCAAATCGAAACTAAGATTTCATCTCACACCAGTCAGAATGACAGTTATCAAGAATCCAAACAACAATAAGTATTGGTGAGGATGTGGGAAAAGGCACACTCATACATTGCTGGTGGGATTGCAAATTGGTGCAACCACTCTGGAAAGCAATATGGAGATTACTTGGAAAACTTGGAGTGGAACCACCATTTGACCTAGCTATCCTACTCCTCAAGTCCATCCCCAAAGGACTTAAAATCAGCATACTATAGTACTGCAGCCACATCAATGTTTATAGCAATTCAATTCACCATAGCTAAACTGTGGAAGCAAACCAGATGCCCTACAATAGATGAATGGATAAAGAGACTGTGGTATAGATATACAATGGAATATTATTCAGCATTAAAAGATAATAAAATCATGGCATTTGCAGGTAAATGGGTGGAGTTGGAGATATGCTAAGCGAAGTTAGCCAATCCCCCCAAAACAAAGGGGGGGTGGGACATGGGAAAATGGAGGAACTTTGATTGGGCAAAGGGGGGGGAGGGAGGAGAGGGGAGGGGGTCAGGAAAGATGATGGAATGAGATGGACATCCTTGCCCTCGGTTCATGTATGACTGCACATATGGAGCTATACTACATTGTGTACAACCAGAGAAATGAGAAGTTGTGCTGCAGTTATGCAGTGTGTACAATGAATCAAAATGCATTCTTCTGTCATATGCACCTAATTAAAAAAATAAATTTTAAGAAAAGAACACAGTGCAAATTAAAAAACAAACAAACAAACAATTATAATGACACAAGCTGGAGAAGATGCCCAGAAACCAAGCCTCTCTCACACGGTGCTGGTGAGAATGTAAAATGATGCAGCCCTGGGAAACCGTTTGGCAATTTTTTATAAACCTGGTCATATACTTCCCATGTGAACCAGCAGGCATACTCTCGGGCATTTTTCTCAGAGAAATGAAAACTTATATTCACAAAATGACCCTGTACAGGCATGGTCACAGTGGCTCTACTCATAACAGCCAGATCGTGAAAACAGCCCAAATGTTCCTCAGCAAGTGACCAGCCAAGGAATCCGTCTGTCCATTCCATGGAATAGTACTGCTCAGCAGTAACAGGGGACCAGCCGCCCAGCACACAGTGACCTGCTGGACCTGTCAGCCTCCAAAGGCCATGTTTACAAAACATCCTCAAAACAGCAAAGCTGCAGAGATGGAGGATAAGTCAGTACTTCCTAGGGACAGGAACAGGGGTGGGTGGGGCTAGGCACAAATACAAAGGTCAAGACCAGAGGACCTGTGGCAATGCACAGTTCTGTGACTTGACGGGGTCCCCTGCTGGGGTGGAGACCCCCACACACACACACACACCTGAATGCAGGATAGAAGGTGGTGGAGGTGTACTGTCTATTCAATAATGGTGACTAGTAATGTCCTAATGTCACTTTCCTGATTTCCATATTGTGCCTCAATCACTTAGCATGGCAATTCTGTGAAAAGCCAGGTGAAGGGCACAGGATTCCATGCTACTATTGCAACTCCCTGTAGGTCTACATTTCAAAGTGGATAGTTTTTAAAAACTAATGCCAAAAGACCACGATGGTTATGTGTGTGATGTGTTCATTAAATGTGATAGGACTTCAGAGAAGGAGCCGGCCTGCAGAGGGGAGGCCAAGGGGGGTTGTGGAGGGGATGGGACGTAAGGTCAACACCATCGCGCAGAATTCAGCCTGGGAAACAGATGATTTTCTACCAGGCCCAACACTGGCAGCCGGCCATGCGTGGAAAAGGAAAGTTATGTTCCTAGAGCACAAAACAACAGGGGGCGGCTTGTGAAGTGAGTGTGCCACTGGACTGTTTGGGTGAAGGACAAGAGTGGTTGGGAGCCACAACCAAAGTTTGCAGCAAGATTAGAAAGTGTCTTTAATTTGAAGCTGTGGAAACTGAGTTTATTGTGAATAACAAGATGCCGTTGCCAATTGCAAGCAAGGATGTCTACTGGAAGTGACACTTTGGGAGCAGACCTGGCAGAGACCTGTAACAGGCTGGAGCCAGGAGAGACAGAAGGGACAGACAGATCATCAGGGAGAGCACCCTGGCCCACCCAGCACGACCGTCCTGATTAAGGCCACACCTAACGTGAGGCCCGGGACGAGAAAGGGCAAGTCTGACTGAAGAAGCTATGAATGCAGACCATAAAGGACCAGGTTCCTGACTGGCCATGGGGTCTTGGAGTCGGTCCACACTGGAGCCTGGGACACAGGAACAGGGAGGGGGAGGGGTTTGGTGGCAGGGACCACGTTTGCGTTTGCCATAGTGAGTGCGGGGGCATGGCGAGCCATGGGACGGACTTGCAGCTCAGGACAGGGGGTCAGGGCTTTATAAATACATCATTGAGACCATGCGAACAGATGAGTGGACATCAAGAGTGGACAGGAGGGACGAAGACGAGGGACAGGTGTGGGAGCCCCGGCAGGTGCACACCCCTCTGATTGGAGTCTAGAAAACACGAGGCAGTTCCTGTCTTTACCCGTTTCCTCCTGGTTGTCATGGTGTTCAAAGCCCGTGTCGTGCGGGAAGGTCCAGGGTTGGACGCACATGATGCACAGCCTTCTGGCCACCCTCCCCCACTGCTTCCCTAGCAACCTCCTGCCGGGGCTGTTGTCAAGGCAGAAGCAGGTGCTCCTCATCCGCCATAGCAACGGCTCCTCCAGTCCCTGTCAGAAGGTGGGGATCACTCCCTGTCCAAGCGGCTACTGTCAGCCTGTCTGAGCTCCCAGAACCTCACCCGCAATTAATCCTGATTGCGAGTCCTCAGAATGGTGCCCCTCATTTAGCTGTCAGCTTGCTCTCAGAGCTTCCGAAAAGGAAAAAAGAAAGCACCCTCGCGCTCGTCTTCTCTCTGGGGGCTGCTTGTTTGGAGGGCTTTTTCCTTTGTTGGAGGCAGAGGGATGCTTCCTGTCATGAGCAAAAGGTTCTTAGCTCTCCCTCGGGGATCGGGCTGCTTTAGGTGGGTGTTGGGTTTCTAATGGGGCGAGGAGTCAGGAGGGGGGCAGATGGCTGCCGCAGCTGCCTTGGCACGCCTCGGCCACCACCCAGGGGAAAGCCGTGGGGGTGAACCTGGACCTTGATGCAGAGAACGGTGGTGTTCACAGGCTCTCTGCACAGTCTCGCTCAGCCCCTGTCACTTCACATGGGAGCTGAGAGGAAATACTGTCTTTCTCTAGCTTCTCCCGGGAGGTGAGAATCCTGCCACGGAGGCCCGCGAGCTCAGGCAGCACCTCAAACTCCAGGGGACACGGGGGGAGCAAGAGCTCACCGGGCGGATCTCATGCCCGGCCTTTTCAAGTCGGACGCACTTTCTTTGGCGAGGGCACCCTTCCTGGAACAGCCCAGGAACGAAGCCCTGGCAGAGCTGCCAGTCCAGGCTGAAAGGCGAGGCGTGTCCTGGGCCCTTTCTTGGAAAGGCGTGAGGCTGCCCAGATTTGAACCAGGGATGTTGGTTAATAAGAACTTCAACTCACACTGTTGGGTTACTTTGTGGAAAGCACCATCGTTCCATTTCTTTTCTGCTGATAAAAATAACATGCTGAGTAATAGTCCATGGTACACATGCACAATGGAACACTACTCAGCATTAAAAGAGAATAAAATTATGGCATTTGCAGGTAAATGGATGGAGTTAGAGAATATCATGCTAAGTGAGCCAATCCCAAAAAACCAAAGGCCGAATGTTCTTTCTGATAAGCAAGTACTGAGCCATAATGGTGGCGGGGGTGGGGGGGCATGAGAAAAATGGAGGAACTTTGATTGGGCAAAGGAAGGGAGAGGTGGGGAGGGGCCACGGGGGCAGGAAGATGGCGGAATGATGTGGACGTCATTAGCCTAGGCACATACATGACTGCACATAGGGTGCAACGCTACGTCATGTACAACCAGATAAATGAGAAGTTGTGCTGCACTTGTGCACAATGAATCAAAATGCATTCGGCTGTCATCTATACCTAATTAAATTAATTAATTAATTAATTTTTAAAAAGATTACATCAGTTTATGAAAGTAGGACCCAAATCCCTGGAAACAGTGTCCCTGTAAGAAGAGATACCAGAGCTCACCTTCTTTCCACAGCCAGGTGGGGACACAGCAAGAGGGGGCCATCTGGAAGCCCGGAAAAGAGGCCTCACCAGAAATCAGTCCTTCTAGGACCGCGATCTCGGACTAGCAACCCCGGAATTGTGAGACAGTAAACAGCTGTGGCTGAGCCTGCCCCTGAGCGCACTGACACCTGCCCCTGATGGACAGCCCGGCCAGCAGCACAAGTAACGCTCTGTAACTTCCAAGGCCAAGAACAAAAAGGCCATTGAATTCTGCTTGTATGGAGGGATGCTTGTCCTTAAGAGCCCCGAGTCTCCATATGAAGAAGTCATTACCCAGAACCTCCAAACGTGACCTTATTTATGTATTTTAAAAAAGTGGAAGCTGGGCCTGGTGGTGCACACCTGTAATCCCCATGGCTCTGAGGCTGAGGTAGGAGGATCACAAGTTGGAGGCCAGCCTCAGCAACTTAGAGAGGTCCTAAGCAACTCAGTGAGACCCTGTCTCTAAATAAAACGCAAAATAAATAAATAAATAACATGTTTACTAGAAAATATTTAGACAAATTGGAAATAAGTAGGAAGTGAAATTATATATTATGTACTGATATTAACATAGGTATCATCTTTTAAGACATTTTTATTCTCATTTCATATATTATGTAAATACACACACACACACACACACACTCAAAGATGTGTTTAGAGAAGAGACAAAGAAAAACTTATAGGCATATTTTAATAATAGAGGTATCCTGCCACACAGGCCCTCTTATTCCGTGGACAGTGCATCATGCCTGTTGCTCTTGGCTGGATCACGTCCTCCCCAGTCTTCCGTTCTGAAGCCCTGATTCCCCACGTGACTTCATGTGGAGACGGGGCCAGAGGTGGTGATAACTGTAAACAGGTCTTCAGGGTTGGGCTCTGCTCCAACTTGACTGTGTCCTTATGAAAGGACACCAGGACACAGATATGTGCAGAGGGAACATCTGTAGGACACAGGAGAAGACAAACCTGAGCCAAGCAGAGAGGCCTCAGGAGGAACCAGCCCTCCGGGAACCCTGATCTTGGACTTCCAGCCTCCAGAACTACAAAGACAGACATTCTAGTTATTTAAGGCACTCAGTCTCCTATTTTGCTATAGTATTCCTCGTCAAGTAAATGCATACAGGTATCTTTATGAGCTTTAAGTATAGTTTTCAGTGTTTTAATGACTGGACAATATTCCATTCTATAGAAATGTAATGACCTAAGTACCATGAACATTATGCTGTGATTCAATCTCCTGTTATCAAGAAGGTTGCAAGGAACATTCTTATAAGTAAACTGTACGCATACGTATTAGTGTTCCCTAGAGGAACAAAATCAATAGGAAGGATGATTATAAAAAAGGGATTTATTAGATAGGCTTACATCACCAGAAGCTGGACAGTCCAGAGTGGCCGTCTGCAGGCTGGAGAGCTGGAGGAACCAGTAGCTGCACAGTCCAAGAAGCTGAAGCCCCAGAACAAGAAGGATCAAGAGTGCTACCCCAGTTCCAGATTGAAGGCTTTTGGAAATTCCCTGGAGAATCACTGGTGGAGTCCCCTTTGGAAGAGTGAAGAATCAGGAGTCCTACATCCTCAGAGGATCGCAGCAGCAATCAAGAACCCGTTCAGGAAGAATCGAGCTTGCATCTGCTGCCGCTCTCTTGTTCTTCCACCTTTTATTCCATCCAAGCCTCCATCCAATTGGGCACTGCTGCCCACACTTAGGGAGGGTCTCCATATCAGTTGGCTGTCCCACATGCCAATCACTCCTAGACTCACCCTCATTGGCACATCCAGAAGCCTCTTAGATCTTGGCATCTCTAATTCCAATCAAGTTGACAATTCAGATTAACCCTTACAATATATATTTAATTGATTCTTAGGACTAAAAACCAAGAAATGGGATGTAGACTCAAAAAGATGTGTTCATTCAAAATGTTCTACTCCTGGCCAGACTGTTTCCAGAAGGCTGTGCCAATTGGCATTGCCCTTTGCAGGAGCTGAGTGCCCTTGTCTCTAAACAGGACACTTTCAGCATTTAGCCTGTTTTGCATTGGCAGGGAAATTATTTTAATTTCATAACCAAAGAAGTCAAGGATCTTGACATTTAATCATTGAAATTTTCATTTTTTTTATTTTTAAATTACCTTTCTCTCTATTTACATAAATATATCCTTTTACATTTTCCTGAAATACCTTTTTTAGTGTTTATAAACCCTCAATATCACATGGTAATCCTTTTGTCTGTTACACATTACAGTATTATGCCAATTTTCCATGTTTCTAGAATTCCGTTTTGCGTATTTATTTGTTTGCCGTGTATGACTATCCAGAGTTCTTCCAAGTTCACACAGTCAAACCCCCTGAGAAGCACCTTTAGGGTTTCCTTCTTAGGTATCAAGTTCATGAATTCTTTCTCTTCCTGAAAATATTCACCTAAGAGGTTTTTGTTTTGTTTTGTTTTACTTTAGTGATTTTGCAAATATCAGGGGGAAAGGATTGTGGGTTGGCTGTAAACATTATTTAGATTTTTTCTGAGTATTATTCATATTTTTTTGATATAAATGATATCACACAGTCCAAAGGGCTGTGTGAAGCCTTCAGCCAATGTTGATGTGAGACTCAGCCATTGTCTGGGCCAGGGCTCTCCCAGCTGGTCACCACTCTCCTGGGAATGGCTAGCCATGCAAGCCCTCTGGTCCTTCCCAGACCAGAGCAGGAAATAGCCATCTCTGCTTTAAGGTATCCTCTGGATGGCTCCAAAGCAGACTCAATTCTGAGAGCCTTGTCCCTGGCAGAGCTGCCTCCCTGACCCCTGACCTCACATCCCCGGCCCTTCCAAGCAGCTCTAGGGTTAAGCCTTCCATGCTGTCCCTGGCATGGGGACATGCCTACTAAGGTGAAGGCTCATTTGCTGTCCACACAGGTACACCTAAACTCACGCAGCCACCTAGTGGCCACGTGCCCTGACCTTAGAGCCCAGCTTAAACCGGTGTCCAACACACAGAGCCCTACCCCGGGCATAGGAGGCTCTATGGGAGGAAGCAGGTGCTGGCCCCAGCCCCAAGGGACCTGCACAGCTAAGATGCTCCCACGGACAGGGTCTGATGAGGCAGACTCCCCTGGTGCCTGGTGTGTCAATTCTCTCCAAGAAAGACGCAGAGAAGGATGCAACAAATCCTTCCTCAGGAGAAAGGATAGGGGATGCTTTTAAACATCACCTAGCACCCTTGGATAGTTTTAAATGTTTCCTACATCTGACTTCCATCTGTATAAGGAGAACGATGCTATGCAGAGATTCATGCACAAAGACCAAGTCTTGGTGAGGTCGTCCAGGAGAGCGCTTTCGCGCTTCGTGAAGTCATTTTTGTGGCTTTTTTTGCTCAGGACCATGTGCTGTGAGGGACCCGCAGCTGGTTTGGGGAGCACACTTCCTGCGTGGAGGAGCAGTGAGTGAAAGCCACCCAGGTCCCCATGCACTGCTTAGCAGCCCTCATTTTCTTTGAGGCTGAATCTTCCTAGCAGGTTTCTGCTTCATTTAGAGCCGTCAATACCTCAATTAGTGCCTGCTCGCCTCCCCTGGGAGGGACCGTCACACATGTTGCTTCACAAGCCTCTGAAATCTAAGAACCCCCTGAGAGCCGCTGGGTCATTATATATCCCCTGATCAACAGTGCTGTTTGCCAACAATCCTGCGTTTCTTTCTGCTTCTTCCTTTTGAGGATGAATCAGCTGACATGAATAGGAGGCGATGTAGAGACGCTGCCTGCCCATGGCTATGCCAGAAATATTCCCCAAATGTCCCCTGGTTGTGATTTACTCCTGGTTGTAAAGCTCATGTACCCATTGCAGTGCAAGAAAGAGCATTAGTTTTAGATGTGTTTGAGTGCATGCAAGTGTGTGTATGTGTGTGTGTGTGCATGTGTACAAGTGTGCCTGGCATGCAAGAGTGTTGTATGCATGTGTGTGTGTGTGTGTGTGTGCACACTCATGCATGCTTCTCCTGGCATTTACTCAAAAGCAAGGACACAGGCTCTGTCCCTTTGTGTCATTACTACTCTGGGTCAGTATGTGAGCAGCACCTCCCGCACAGCAAACTCTGCGGCAGGCAGGCGAGGCAGGGGCTGGCTTCCGCACTGCTCCATCTGCGTTCTTGCTCTTGTGAAGCCCGTCTGTCTGCAGCATAATTGGCGTACTCTGAGTCTCTGAGTACTCTGAGCACCACTCATTCAGCAGTGCTTCAGCAGACCTGCAGAACCAGATGAGAGTGGGGAGACATCTGACTCTGGAGTTTTCCTTTCAGAGGGAGGAAGTTCTTAAATCAGAAAAAAAAAATGTAATTATATAGATTCTTTCCAACACATGTCATTTAAAATGCACATCTTCTTGGCTTCATAAAATCTGGGAGAAAAATATAAGATAATTCAAATGCTTCAGTAACCCTAGAATTGCTTCTATGCCTCCAATACACACACACACACACACACACACACACACACACACACGTGAGCACAGGCACACATCCATACATGTGTGTGCACACATGTGGCCATGCATGCTAGCATAGGAACACTCATGCACACATGTATACACACCTAAGCCCTCTCTATCTGCAGCAGGAATCTCTTTGGAAATGACCTTGAACCCTCTTCTTCTAAAGCAAGCAGACCATCATCTTTTTTCTTATCACTTTAACAGAATTTAGCATTTTAAATATCCCCTTTTTCCTTTTTAAAATCTATCTTGTCAAAATTTAGGTAATTTGATAGACATGACCATTATATCATTTCCCAGATTAGCCAATACTTCATTTGGAACCTGTGTGGGTGAAATTTACTTTTAAACAAGCTTTATTTATTGTGATTACAGGCTTAAATCTTTAAAGCCTCTATAATCCCATCATCTGAACACTGTTTTGGGTTTTCCCTATTGTCCTTCCCTTTTGCCTTAGAGGGGTATATAATCTAGCTAGGAAATCAAGTCACGGATGCAAACACTAACTGGAGGAAAATGGCCACATCACTAGCATTTCCCATTCTGGGTGGACTTTTCACGTGTTTGTTCTGTAGCTCCTCCAATGGAAGCCGTCATCACCCTCGTACCCATTCCACAGACGCAGAATCAGGCTCAGAGCATCTCTGCTCCACATCTGTTCCAGATCCTGTAACAACTGTTCCCACACAGAGCAGAGAGAGGAAGGTCTGGGGCCATGGATAGAGGGACTGTGCACAGAACAGGTCTCCAGACGTGGTCCTCTTCAAGCAGATGGTGGGACTGCTGAATTTGCATGTCTAGCAAGTTATGCTGTTGCTTATGCTGTTGGCTCAGGGAAACTTTTAAAGAGCCGCTGTTCTAAACAAATTATAACAAGATTGCTGGGGATATGTGCAATCATCTGTGAAAACTAGCATGTCTCTTAAATTGTAAGATGCACTTATTCCATGACTGGGAAATTCACTCCTGTGCATGTACTCTAGAGAAATTCATGCATACATAACCAAAAATGATCATAGGTATATTGTTTTCAATAAATGAAATCTGAAACCCCTCAGATAAATAAAGTGGAACATTCATAAAAGAAACATTATACAGCAGTGAAAACTGGTGGCTCTGTCCATACAAGCAAACAAAAGGGAGGGAGAAGACAGAGAAGTATGTGGACGTGCGATGCTGTTGTGTGTGCGAAAACTGGCAAGGCCTGAGTTGTCTACGATTCAGTTGTCTAAGATTCGGGCGGAAGAAGTGGAGGCTGCGTGTGTTGGCATCCTGGGTCCACGTGACCCTGAGCGAGTCATTTCAGCCTCTGTGCCTGTTTCTGCCTTCACAAAATTGGAGTAATAGTGGCCGCTTTGTCTAAGCTTGCTATAAGATTAAAGCTCGTGAGGTTCTCAGCAGAATCCGTATGCTCATCGCCGCCATCGTCACAGGAGGAGGTTTTCAAAGGACATTTGATTTCCCTGACCCTAACAGAGTCAAATCACACAGGCATGCAGAAGAAGAGGGCATGAATTCAGATCATCAAGTAGAAGCCAAGGGGAGTTTGTGGTCAATGGCTAAATGAAGAGGGCACCCTGGGAAGTGAATATTGACCACTAGAGACCACATGGCCAGAGACTTCAAGGGCAAATTTTCAGAAATTAGAAATATGCCAGGGATTGGAAGTTTAGAGGCAGGAAGGGAGTCCTGGCATGGAGACTTCTTGGAGGAGGATCTTCAGGGTGTGCTAAAGAGGGAGGTAGCATGTGTGTGGCCAGGAGCCCTGCGCTGAGTCCTCGCAGCCACAGGCCACATGCGTTGCTGCAGCTGCTTCAAGGCAGTGGGTGTGAGACCCCAGCCATCTACATCTGGTGTGGGTGAGGAAGATGGTTTCCCTTCTCTGTCGGTGTCTCCATGGCAAACTGCTGTCTAGATGCAAATCACCTGCTCAGAAGTTAGATCAGACCTTGGAATCCAACTCCTCTGTCCCTCCACGAGCCACTTGGAAGCTGCTGGTTCTGTTTCCATGGAAACTGCTTGCCTTCTGAAAACTATATCAGAATACTCGGTCGGGGGAGACTGGCTGGGGCAACTTCACTTCCCAGACCCTGGGAGGAACTGGCCCACCACTGGCCTAATGCTCGATTTTCTCCTGGTCCTCTCCATGGGCCACTTGGGGGTATCATGGTGACATTGTGGCAGGTGTCCCTGGAGTGAGTGATGGCCAAGGGGAGCACCCAAGATAGAATTCAGTCCTTCTGTCATCTCATCTCAGTGATGTAATGCTACCCCCGCCATGTACTATGGCCCTGTGGACTGTGACTGGTAAATGTTAGAATGACTCCACAAGGGTTAGGATTCCAGGAGGTGGGTTGCTGGCGGTCTTCTTC